ACTTTTACAGAAGCCTCTCCGCCCATTCCTTGTTCGAGGGTATTTTGACGATGTAGGAGTGTAAAATGTGATTCCATTAAGGGCATTGTGTCCTTTTTGTAATATGTTGTAGATTATGAATATATAGTGGGAATGTGGAGTTTTTGTATTGCCATTGTATTGCTCCCCTATTGCATTTGTATTGTCATCGTATTGCCATTGTAGTGTTTTGGTATTGCCTGGTTATTGCACTTATATTTGTTTCTTATCACCTGTTTTTTCAAGTCTGTCTTGTGAAGGAACTTATAAGGATATTTTGTAAAAGACAACGCTTGATTATATTAGTTTATTTTGTAAAGGAAAATGTCAGATCATTATTCATTATCATATAAATAAGGAACAACAAGCACCGTATATGTATCTCTTCAATATGATTGATTCATGTTCAGCTATTGGTGTAAGAATGTGATTCCATTATTGATTTTTTATTGATTATTTATTGATTATTTATTATTGTGAGAATGTGATTCCATTAAGGATGTCATGTCCTTTTTATAAATCAAACACATAGTTGCTTTTCCTGCAACAAATTATATTAATTAAGAAAACCAACCAAAAAGCAATAAACAAAAAAAATACGAAAGTAATGGCACGTAGATTATGAAGTGGTAACAAACATGCAATACAAAAGCAATACGATAGCAATAAACAAGCAATAAAGTGGCAATATACAAGCAATAAAAACGCAATACAAATACAATAAACAAGTTGGGCGTGGCTTTTCTTTTTCTTGTGCAATTTGAAAAGAAAAGGGGAAAGAAACAGAAATTGTCAACACAAAACTGCAGAAAAAAAAAACAGAAAATGATTATATCAGACATTTCCCCTTACATTTTTCCTGGCAATGATATATACCCTATGAAATTGGAGACATTGTTGACACTGAAAGTAGCCGAGGCATGCAGCATTTTGCAAACACAATGATGAGATTGAGATATGATGCACATTTCACAATTTCCACCTTAGTATAATGGAATTTTAAATTATAGATACAAAATTCTATACTGATAATGATAACCACCCCAAGCTAAGGACAACTCGGCATAAATTAATACAACTTCAGTCAGACTATGACATTATATATATCCCTTGAAATATAATATACAAATTGCTGGCTCAAAGAAGAGTAACAAAATTTTGATTCCAAATCTAACATTTGAGTACAATGCTAGAGGAAGTTGCAACAAATTGATGACTATAAGTCTGCGTCCATCTTGAAGATAAAATTCTTTCCACCATCTTGGAGGCCTGACATAATGCTCTTTGATAGTCACCCACCCTTCTCTAAAAAAAGTTCTTCTTTCCTCTGCAGGAAAAAAGAAAGAAAAATCAAGATCAAGATCAATTGTCCTCCAAAAATATCGCTTAATTCTGAAGGAACAAAACTTTGTGTCCTGGTTACTGCAGATGTATTCTGAGGGCCAACCGTCTCCCATTCATCTTCTTCTGCAGAAGATACTAGAGATGATTTGAGCCCATTAATACTCAAGGGCTGTCCTTCAAGCTTAAGTACTTCATCATGCATCTGATCCATAATGAAGCTAAGGAACTCCTGAGCACCATCTTGTCTGAAAAACAAAAATAGTTTCACTAGGCAACTTAAAATAGAAAGTAGAATATAGACATGCCGACATAAATATTTACACTAGACAGAGAAGAAACTAAACAATGCAAAAGTGTCTACCGCGCAAATCTCACGGCCTGGAGTTCCGGGCCGAGGGGATGTGCGTTAACACGGGGTTTCCTGCTTTTGGGTGCGGTGCGGTTGTGCGCGGGCGTGCCAGCACGGTTTACCGTGCGTTGATGTTTCGATGAGTGTTGGATGGATGAATGGTGCGCCTGTTTGATCTGTCTTCCTAGTCAAACGATTGTAGCCGAGAGAGGAACTGGTCTCGGCTGTTAGGTTCACGGCCTGAACTACAAGGCCGTCGAGTGATGGTGTTGGTGGTGGATTTTGGGCGGTGCTCCGGCGCGCTGCTCAGGGAGCGACGGTCGTGTGATATATGGGGTGAGTGAACGAACAACAAGGATGGTGCTCCGGCGCCTTGAAAATCAAGGGTCGTGTGATATATTGATGAATGGATTTTGCTTACAATCTAACGCTACTCCTAGGAAAGCAAGTAAAGATATTGAAAGTGCATTACAGGAAAAAATAAGTTGCTCAGTGGGAGGCTTGTTTTGGTGTTGAACCCTTTGAATGTAGCTCGAGTCTTGTATTTATAGGAAGAGTCCCTGGATGAGTAATCGAGGCTGAATTTACGCATAGTGGAGCCTGATTAACGCAAGTGGGCAGTCCAATCGACATTTGGGATCGTGAAGTATGGTGGTTGTTCGGTTCATTTTTACACATGATTTTTCATGTTATTCACCTATTATTTTGAGTTAGTTCTTGACATTTTATAGCTTTTTACTTCCTTTTTGTGTTTTCTTAGATTTTACCTTGGTTGGGATGAAGCTGTCAGAATTCTTGTGAGAATGTCCACGTCTAATCACTCTGATCTTCATCACCAAATCCTGACTTCAGTCACTTCCC